ACGAAGATTGTTAGTTCCTGGATTCAAATCTTTTCGAGTCAGGATCATGAATATACACTACTGAGGAATCTCACAATAGTACGAAACAATCATCAAACAGTACTTCCAAGTTTTCTATAATAGTCTATGTTTAATTGACTCATAATCTTAACTATTAAAATTATCAGATGAGTTTTGTGAATGTTATAATCATTTCAAAGGTTAAGATCATGAGTTAGTTAAAGTTAGACCACCATGGAAAATATAAAAGCAATGAATGACTGTTTCGTCCTATTGTAGGATTCTTCAACAGTGTCCTGACTCATGATCTTAACCATTGAAATGATTAAAATTATATTGATTGATTTATTTGTAAATCTGAATCAAAAAAGTGAATCCAAGTTTATTATTTTGTGTGTGTGTGTTTGTGTGTGTGCATATAAATGTGGCACGAAAAAAAATAAAGAAAAAAATGAAGAAAAAACAATTTTTCTCTCAAATATGTTTTTTTCTCCTTTTTTTTCTTTTCTTTATAAAATTAATTAAAAGTTTCCCCTTGACTAATTTTTATTGATTTTTTAAAACAATCAAATTGTTTCATATCGGTGTTTTATGCCCTTTTTTTAATAAAACAAAAACTTATATTATACAGTTTTCTTTCTTTTTTTTTCTTTTTTTTTAAAAAAAAAACACGTTTTAAACACTTCAGTGAAATTATACATCAACCTAGTAACAAATCATTTTTATTTTTGTTTCTTGGGGGGGGGGGGCGATGACAAGAGAAGAGGGTGAGGGTTGGAAGTGGGGGTGGGGGTTTGGAGTGAGACGGGGGGTGGCGACTAAGAAGAAAACGAATACATTTCAATGTTTCAATTAATATACACTTATATTATTGATCATTATAAATAGTTATAAATAAATGGTGTTATTTTACAACTCTAAGGTTAATTAAATCTGTTTATAGAAGAAAAAAAATTTATCAGCATCAAGTGTGCAATTTATGTAATTTATTTTGTTGATTTGAACTGTTGAAAGAATGTTGATGATTTGGTTCGTTTGTGAATGAGTTTTATGAGAATGTGAGGAGAGTATGCTCTCCCTTTCGACATGTAATCAGATGAAGACGCGTATACAGTCACTGACTGAGACGTCCTACTCACTAATTTCTCGCGGCTAGAATGTTCTTTATGAAATTGAGAGGACAAAAAGCGAATGTCCGACGGTTTAATCGAGTTGGTCAAGACGGAGAGTCTACCTAGGAGAGTCAGAAAACCCTGATTTCAAACAAATGGTTCATATGGGCTCTATGATCCTAAGGGAACAAATGAACCAATTGTTGATCCTCGGCTACTATGAGATTGCATCACTGCTTTGAGGATTAGACCTCTAGGTGAAAGGCTCGTGGAATGGCCATCTAAGGAAATCAATTGCTTTAGTTTAAGCGACCAGACACTATCTCAGTCCTCACATAAATCGAATGATTTATGTGGCGCATAAGTATTCCGTGCCTCCTTTGTATCAATATTTATGTGGTTAAATACATAATAAATAAATAACTGACATTGTATGATATCACTCATGAAAATCTTATACCTTTATTCATCACAGAAAGATTTGAAGAATTAAAAGTCAGCTGGTTCCCTTCAGATTATATATTTGGTAACTAATGATAATATAGCATGATTCCTATCGATGAACAATGTAGTTACATCAATTTGACGACAGTCATGTCATAAATTATAGATGGAACTTCACGTAATAAATGTTCTTTTATACAAAATGAAATATGAATTAGTGTATAAGTTGGGACCTTAAGTGAAATCTTCGGTAAGAAATCCTACCTAATGAAATAATACACTTGGAAACAATTATCATGGCTTGGACATGTTCTCCGAATGTCGTCCCAGAGAATTCCACGTCGTGCATTATTTGCCGACTCTGGGACTGGTTGGAAGAAGCGGAGAGGTGGTCAGTGCATGACATGGTGTCGTGGCTTGAAAGAAAGCTGCAAAGGACTGGCTTGTGTTGGTCCTTCACGACTCCCTGGCTGGGGTCCGAGAGATGGTGCTACACAGTGGCTAGAGACGTTATCAGATATGGCTCAGAATAGAAGCCAGTGGCGATCCTGCTGTAACCTTCTTTTACTTTCTTCATAAAAAGTGGTTGTGTCTCCTTTACCTGAAAGATTTCTTCTGATTGTACCTCTTCGTCATTACTCTCTTTCTTTTGCGTTCCTTAGTTTTTTTTCTTCTTTTTTTTCTTTCTACTTCTCTTCGAATTCCCATTGTTTTGTGTGGCGCATATATATTGGCGCTCTCTTGTACCAATATTTATGTGTTCAAATAAATAAATAAATAAATAAATAATCATTCAGAGAGGGGTTTTGGGGATATTATAATAATCCTAATAGTTGAATTCATGAGTCAATTTAAGCTAGAACACTATGAAAAACGTGAAAGCACTAGACGGTGTAACTTTGTGGATTGATTGAAGTTAGACATTAATACCGTTGAGTGCCAAATCAGTCAGTAGTCTAGAAGTTAAGCGTTCGTGTGCGAGACCGATAGGTTCTGGCTTCGAATCTCGCGAGGCGGGGTCATGGATGCACACTATTGAAAAGTCCGTCCAGTGCTCACAGATTTTCTATCGTGACTCATGAGTTCAACTATTATTCAGCAGATCAACTGTAATGATACTTTCAATTTTACTATTTATCATATGAACTGACAATTAAATAAAAAACTGTTCTATTGAAAACATAAGATTCGCGATTCTGTTAAATAATAATCGAACTTCATTATAATTATCCAATGTTATTTCATTCAGATTCACTTGGTGTTGTTTTACTTGTATCTTCCCATTGTTATTTAGGACTGCAATTGATCAGTCACATATTGGCATATATGTATCCTGTGAGGATTGCTTCGATATTGCCTAAAGTCACACGTTTTTTTAAGCAAAGATGAATAGTAGCTATCAGTGGAATCCAGGATACACGTTTCTTTCTAATTGGGACTCGTCAATTGGATGTACCTGCATCTCAGAGTTGATGTTCACTCTGGGACTCGAACCCAGTGCCGCTCGATTCAAGCGTCCTGGATTCTACTGCTAGCTACTATTCATCTTTGCTTAAAAAACGTGTGACTTTTTCTATCACGCGACTTATCGACCAGTCAGAATACGACTTATACAATTTCGTACTATGCCAAACCAATGACGTTCAACCGGTATGAGCAGTTTAGCGTCCTTATTGGTCCTATGTCCTCCTAGCCCTTCCACTTGAGTCCAGAACACAATACCAGCTACTGTAATATGAATCGAATCGAATCATTATATTTCAGACATACTCTATTTATATACCAATCAACCAGACCACATCGTACCATAAAATAGAAAACAATATTTGACAAGTGAAATAAATATTGGCCAATATGAAATGTCCATTTAAAGTCCGAGGACACCATTAGACTTAACATGATAATTATTGGATAATTATACAATAAGAATATTTATAGAATATTAGTCTATTAACAGTCCTCGTAAGTCACCAGTAACTTAATCTTCACTGGGTTATAACAGAAAGATTGTTACTTTAGGCAATATCGAGGCAATCCGTACACCATGCACATATCCCAACACGTGACTGATCAATTGCAGTCGTAAATAACAGTGGGAAGATACAAGTAACTAATACCAAGTGAATTTAAACTTCACCCCATTGCACAAACAAGTGGTTGTCAGGACTCAATAGCTAAGCGGAGAACGTGATGGCATTTGAAACGAACAGTACTGAGTTGGAGTCCCGGAGTGAGCATCAACTCTGAGATGTAGGTACATCCACTTGACGCATCCTAAACAGAACGAAACGCTCGTCAAACTGGATTCCCCTTGCAAGTCACTATCCACCTTTGCTTGAAACGTTATCTCATTCAGTTACTTTTAATCCTAATAACCTTCCTGAGATTGCTGTATTAACTAATGCATGTAAATGAGCTTACACTTTGTTAAACATAAGGCTTGACCATCTACCTTTTCAGTTGGTTAACTTGTTATTATTCTAGATTATTTATTCAATAGTAAAATCAATTATTCTATCAGTCAAATGTATAGAATGTTATATATCTGTTTCCATTATTGAACATGTGTGTGATATCAAACTTTTCCTGTTTATTTGGTGTGTATATGTTTGATAAATAGAAGAATGAAATCTTTACTATGGAGTTCATTTAAAGGAATAAATTTCACTGGTGAGACTATAGTTTATGGACGACATTTGAGTAACGCTAAAGTGACCTTGAAGGTGTCCATCTAATAACTAGGACCAAATGAGGGTTATGAACCAGTGTGAGGAATTCAAATTACGATATACAATGGATGATTAAGGTTAGATATTAAATTTAGGGTTTTCATCATGAATCGATATCTATTTAGTTAAATGATTGAATGAATTTCGCACCCGAATGTGAGAGTTATTATCTTAAATTGGATTGATTCATTCATAGATTATAATCAACCAACACCAAAGTCACAAATTTTAATACAAATGTCAAGACAATTCTACTGCATTGGTCGGAAACTCGGAGAACTACGATAGCCACCATCAAGAAGATACAAGTGTTTATTCACAGTTGTCTACACAAAATACTTCGGATCCGTTGATCAAAAAATATCAGCAACAAGATTACAGTGGAGGAAGAAATCAGGAAGAAGAGCTGGAAGTGGATAGGACACACATTGAAGAAAGCATCCAACTGTATCACAAGGCAATCCCTCACATGAAACCCTCAAGATCAAAGGAGAAGAGGAAGACCAAAGAAGAACACATTACGCCGAGAAATGAAGACAGACATAAGAAAAATGAACAAGAATTGGATGGAATTAGAAAAGAAGGCCTAGGACAGAGTGTGGGTTGGAGAACGCTGATCGGCGGTCTATGCTCCATTGGGAGTAACAGACGTAAGTAACTAAGTAATGATCATTAACATCCAATAAAAGTTAAAATAGAAATAGAAATAATTTACCTTTTCAATGTTGTAGATAATGGATGAGCCATATGTTTAATTTGTTCTGGTGTTAAATATGTATCATTTAATAAATTGACCATGTCAATTTTACCATATTTTTCAATTAAATAAGTATAAATATCACTTCCATTGACTAATGAAAATAAAGCGGATAATCTAAGAGAATACCAACAAAAGAAAGAAAGAAAGAAAAACAAATCAATAAACGGTATCTTCATTATAATCAAAGGGGGGGGGTGTTGTGAAGATTGTAGTAATTTCAATAGTTGAGATCGTGAGTCCATTGAAGTTAGATCACGATGGAAAACCAGCCATTTGATCCTAGTCTGGGACTCTTCAGCTGTACGCATCCACGATCTCACGTCGCGAGATTCGAACCCAGGACTGGATTAAAAAACAATCGGTTAATTAATTATAATTGTGTTCTCTTTCAACCTCGGTTTATTTATTTGGTATCGACTAATGATAGAAGTAAACTAGTTAGAAGGAAAAAGAGGTCAGTCTTGAAAAAGAAAACATTTAGTTTGTGGAATAATACATGCTTCTGTATGGTATTATAGAAGGAACATCATTATGATAAAATTGTGAAACTTTATTAAGATAACTTCAAAAACGCTGTCATCAGTTCTACTTTACTTGGAATTCAACTCAAGGACAATCACTGCTTGACATCAGGATGGATTGCTTGCTCTTATTCAAATGGACTGATTGTGAAGCTTTCATTGACATCTGAAGTGAACGCTGATGATGCTGTTGTAGAACAATAATAGCTTACTTACTTACTCACACCTGCTACCCCAATGGAGCATATGAAGCCAACCAGCATTTTTCAACCCAATCTTTTCTGGGTCTTCCTTTCTAGTTCTATCCAATTGTTGTTCATTCTTCTCATATCTGTCTCAGTTTCTCGGTGTAATGTGTTCTTTGGTCTTCGTCTCCATCTGTGAAGACTTATTCGTCCAGTTGCATCCTAGATGACCACTGTATCCCATACTTCCTCCCCCCAGATGTTGACGTCTTTATGACCCATCGGATCACCAGGAGAAAGAGAAAGGGTGAGATTAAGCAACCTTGCTTGACACCAATTTTTACTTCGAACGAGTCTGTGAGCTGTCCACCATGCACAATTTCACTGTTGAATCCATCATAAGAATTCCATATGATGTTGACTATCTTCTCACGCATGGTATAATGTCGTAGAATCCTCTATAGTATTGTCCTATCCACTCTATCAAATGCTTTCTCTTAGTCAATGAAGTTGATACTTCATGAATAAACTATCCAAATGAAAGAATGTAACAGTACTAGACTTTGATTTACTAGTGACCTTCTTTTTGTTGTAAACCAGATATTTAAATGAGTTTCATTGCATTGTTTACTTATTAAATCTTTTTGTTTATTATGCATGAATGTATGAAGCTTAAAATGAATGAGTTGACAACAAACAGTTAAGAGAAAGAAATTATCATTACACATCTTGAGAAGATCTTGAATCGATTGATTTTAGACCAAACATTAAAAACCTGGAAGTATTGTACGGCCTTTTCGTCCTATTTTGCGAATCCTCAGCGGTGCGCATCTACAATCTCGCTCGTGGGATTCGAACTCATGTGCTAACTGATGAATAGCTTCGTGAGAGAATTCTTGGAGTTATAGTGAGAAGCAGTGACTAGTGGAGCTAATCCATGTCGGGTAGAGATAGGTATCTACCTCAGTACAATGGAAGATCGTCGCGCAATTTCGTGTATTGGTTGAAGTTAGACATTGACAGTGTTAGATGCCGGCTCAGTGATCCAGTGATTAAGCGCTCACGCGCAAGACTGATAGGTTCCAGGTTCAAATCTCGCGAGGGGCGGTATCGTAAATACACACTGCTGAGGAGTTCTACACTAAGACAAAACGGCCTTTCAGTACTTTCAGGTTTTCCATGGTGGTCTAGCTTCAATCGATTAGTGAATTCAACTATTACAAAGGTTAGAATTAATCTTTATTCTTATCTGCTTATAGTTTAGTTTGATTATATTTTCATTCTATTATCTTTCAATGTTTATTAAACGAACGAGTCAATTAAATTCATTTATTTAAACATTAAAACAAAAGATTTACAAAACCTTTTAAATCTTTTCCTTTGTTTTATCCTGAACATATGACAATTGGATTATGTATTCTTTGTTGTGTAACAACAAATACTACTCGTACTACGACTACTACTACCACTACTGCGATTATTACTACGATTACTACTACTACAAGCACTACTACTACTACTGTGGTGCGTGCTACTTATATTGATATAAGTAGTATATGACGCGAGTCGGGAATGTAATGTCTTATAGTATAGTATTATAGTACAGTTTTTCTATTTTACCAAGTAACTCTGCAATTTTGTGCTAAATATAATTCGATTGTCCTCACCCGTGTTCTGTTCACTACAATTCGTGTCGCTGCCGATCAGGAGAGCAGAAGGGGGCTGTTCTGCGGATGTCTTTGCGGGCCTGGAGCTGAGGTGCTAGTTGGGGCAGTCTGGTGCAGGGAGGTGTCGTCGAGCGGAGTGCTCTGGCGATGCGGCGTTGGCTGTAGCGGGTGCCGTCGACGGAGAGGAGCGGCGGGACATGCGGCTGCTGGGCGGATGCAGATGGATCAGCTAGGCCGGTGTTAAGCGTCCCAGGTGCCGGGTGGATTTCGGATGTTGTTGCCCCGGCAGGTCGACGGAGCTATGGAGGTCGGTGCACCGCAGACTCGACATTTTGATGGAGATCGTAGCACAGACTTCAGAGACGAATAATGTTGCACGGCGAGCATGAACCACCACAAGAACGACTGCTTTAAAGGGGGGACGAGTGTGGTGCGTGCTACTTATATTGATATAAGTAGTATATGACGCGAGTCAGGAAAGTAATGTTTGGCAGCAGAAGATGTGGAAGATCAAGAAAGGAAGAGCGGGAATAGAAAGCAATTAGTATGGAAATGCAAGAACAACGAAGTTCCAGACAATTAAGTATTATAGTATGGTTTTTTCTATTTTACCAATTAACTGTAATGTTGTATATAGTGTAATCCGGTTGTCGTCACCTGTGCTCTCCTTCACTACACTACGACTACCACTACTACTACGACTAAGGCTACGACTACAACTACAACTACGACTACGACTACGACTACCACTAGCACTACCACTACTGCTAGTACAACTGTCACTACTACTAATGTCTTCCATATTCATTTTTACCCATTTCACATAAGATTTGTCTTAACTATTCTCAATAGTTATAAGCATTTTTGACTACAGTTTCATTCAATCGATTTTCAATGTTTTTCAGATGTTTGTTGTTCTATTTTTGTTTGTTTTTTTTTATTCATCTAAATATGATTAATATTACTCCTTCCTGATTCAATAGAACTAGTTAAGAATATACAAATATATTTTAGATTCATATTCATAATAAGAAGTTTTTGACAGTAATTTTTATGATATAAATTGTTGTCAGTTTAGTAACTAGTGAAAAATAGAAGGAAAAAAATAATAAAGAAAAGGTATATACAACTTCGTTTGGTATTGTTTTGCTTGCATATGTGCATACAGTAGCTGAGTGGATAACGCGATGGCGTTTGAAGCGAATGGTACTGAATTCGAGTCCCAGAGTGAATATCAACTGTGGGATGCAGGGATATCCAGCTGACAAGTCCCAAATAGGACGAAATGCACGTCCTAGATTCCCCGTATGGTTAAGCAAAGGTGTAGTCAAAACGGTTAACAGCTCCATTTTAGACCATCTAGTTCAGATAGAGCATACAGCCAACATGGAGCAATCTTTTGCAATCATCTATCGTGTTAACAGCAGTCTACCTTATTCCGTCAGACTGCGAATTCTACAGACAGCTGAAGCATTTGCTGTTCGGATCAAAAAGCCAAAACTTTACATCCAAAAGAAATATGTTCAGCCACTCCTTTTATCCTGGCCAACTTTGGGGCCAACTAGTTAATAATCAATTTCATAATATAGTGATGTAATTTGATTAATGTTTATTTTATGTCCCAAACTTATCTTACTATTATTATTATCACTACACTTGATAACCTTTCTGAGGAGTGCATTCAGTATCCACCTCTAAATCTACTATATCTGATCTAATTCATATTATTCTACATATTACGTAATCTCTGATTTCTATTCCATTATCCTTTCACTTTCACCACATGTTGACCATATTTATTCTGATCATTTATCGCACAATTTCATTTCACTTATTATCTGATTCAAGTTAACAACTTCATATTAGTCAGCCCCAACATTAACGATTTGATTTGATAACAAACAACAAGACTGATAAGTCCTGGGTTCGAATCTCGTGGGGTGCTGGACCATCGATGCGTACTGCTGAGGAGTCCCATACTAGGACGAAACGGCCGTCCAGTGCTTCTTCGTTCATACAATTGTATTGTTGTATTGTTCGGCTTGTATCTTACCACTGACATTTAGGACTACAATTGATCAGTCTCTTATTGGCATATGTGTATCCTGTGCGGATTCTTTCGAAAATTACCAGTAAGTCATAAGCATTATAAGCAAAGTATGATGGTGGTTAGTAGCAGAATGTAGGACTCGCGTTTCGTCCTATTTCAGACTGGTCAGTTGGATGTATCTACTTCCTAAAGTTGATGTTTACTCCGAAATCCAAACCCAATACCGTTCACTTCAAAAAGTTAAGTGGATAAAGTAATGGTACATTCATATTCCTGTACTTTTAACTATTATCTACCATCAAATGTATACAAAATCGATTGTAATACACAATAATAAACATAATATTGTAAAATAGAATTTACTATATGAATAGTTTAGAGTTTAAGAGTTCTCTCACGAAACCAAAGGTTCTAGGTTCGAGTCCCTTTGTTACGGGATTGTGAATGTGCATTGTTATTAACAATATGTATTTATAATTTTTATGAAACTGATTCTCCCTAATGTACTTGATGCAAACACTACACTATGCAAAGTTACTTAGATTAGGGATCAAATTACATTTTGATCGATAGAATTTGATGAGTACTTAAAAGAACTTGATACTAATAATATTGATCACTAAGTACTGATCAATCCGTTGTCACTAATCCACGAGAAAAAAAAATAAGAGAGAAGAAAAGATGATACAATGACGAAATAGAAAGAAAAAAACAGGAGAAGAACCATACAATCGTTAATTATTCAATGGATAAGAATTACTAGTGAGCTAACCGGGGCCCGCGACTGACCTCCTGTAGGACTGAAATGTAATCACATTTGATTGATCACTGAATGGTGATCAATGTCATGTGTGTCAAGTCCGTATTTAGTGCAGATCGAATGCTATCGATCATGTTGTAATGTGGCCATCAGTCTAGGTGAGTCAATATATAGTGCACCACCCAGTGATCAATCAATTGTGGACAAGAATCATAAGATTTAATCATAACGGAAGAACTAAAACTGTATACAAATGTAATAATAATGTAGTCTTTGGTGGAGTTTTGTTCTCTGAGCTGGATGGTTTGGTCGTGGAGCTTTCATCGTTCTTCTGAACGACATCATCAGCACATTTCAGAGAACAAAACTACACCAAAATCATCCACCTGAGGTACAAATTTTCTCCACCATCTCATAATGTAGTCTATATTGAAAATAAAAGGAAAAGTAAATGATTGTTGAAATAATGAAGTATAAAATACATGAAAGAGATTTTCTTATATACAAATGATGATAATACAGTAGTTTAGAGGTTAAGCTATCACCTACAAGATCGATCGATCCTGAGTTTGAATCTTGTGGAGTGAGATCGTGGATTTGAACTACTGAGGAGTCATATATTAGGATGAGATAGTCGTTCAATGATTTCAGGTTTTCCATGGTGATTTAGATTGAATGAACTTATGAATACTTAGTTTCAACCATATAACATCGTTAATATTATGTTATTCAATGTTCTGGAATATTCTTTCGTAAAGACAATGATGATTTATTGTATTATTAGTTATATTGAAGAAAATCTGAAACCAAAGCATCAAATGATTCATCTTCCTCTTTACTATTTGTATTCAATACCATAAATAACATTACATAACTACCAACTAACTCCATTTGGAGTCCCTCTGGGGTTACTGCCGGTCCCAAGCCCAGATAAAAGAAGGAGGGTTGAGCATGAGGTTAATGACCCCATCCCATAGAAAACTAACTTGCTAAAAATACAATAACCAGAAATAAATAATTCAAACCATTTAAACTGTACTCTAAGAAGAAGAGTTATGACTTCTCATGACGAAAGACGAATTCCTTCGAAAGTCACGAGGCTAACCCTTCTTCTGACAATCAGAGCAATTATTAATTTAGGTACATGAAATGTTAGTATAATATGGAAGACCGGGAGAGTAGGCCAAGTAAGTAACTATTAATTGACAAACCTTTTTACATATATCACATGTTTTTTTCTATTAGTTAAGATCATGAGTCAATCGAAGCTAAACCACCATGGAAAACCTTAAAGCACTGGATGGCCGTTTTGTCCTATTCTGGAACTCTTCAGCAGTACGCATCCACGATCTAGCCTCTCAAGATTCGAATCCAGGACCTATGAGTCTCACGCGCGAGCGCTTAACCTTTAGACTATTTTAATATTAATAAACATACGCTCACTAATGACTGCCTTCAAGAGGTATTTCTTGAAGTTTTAATGAGAAGCAGTGATCAGTGGAGTTCAACCGAGTCTGTTGTGTGATAGTAACTCATTGAAGATAATGATGGACGAAGGTGAAATTTTGTGGATAGATTGAACTTGAACATTAACACCGTTGTATGTCAGCTCAATGGTCTATAGGTTAAACATCCACGTGTGAGACCGATAGGTTTTGAGTTCGACTATCATGAGTCGGAATCGTGGATGCGCATTGATGAGGTGTCTCACAATAGACCATCAAACGGCCATCAAACAATGTTTCCAGGTTTTCCATAGTGATCTAGCTTCAATTGTCTCATGAATATCTACAAAAACCCTTTCACTGAAATATACCACATGTGTTTAAATGGAATTGAAAGAAGTAAAAACTAAACAGAACATTTAACTGTAATAAAATTTCAAATTACCTCATTGGATTAATATTGCATAATCTAATTATCCCATTTGATTCCATTAATGTTGTATTATCACTATGTATTATATCATCCTCATACTGTTGGTGCTGTTGCTGTTGCTGATGCTGATGCTGCTGCTCATGATGATGATGATGATGATGATAATGATGATGATGATGATGATGATGATGATCTTCATTATTCATAGTGTGTTTATTTAAATAGGAATTTTGTAAATAGTCAATGAATCCATTCATATGATGCTCATCATCATCAATGAATAAATGATAAGCTTTTAACCATTCGAATGTACGATATAATAGTAAAGTTAAACATAAGATAAATGATATGAAATGAAATAACCTGAAATAGAAAATAGAAAGTCAAGATATATATATATATATCTTGTATTCATATGACAACTAAGCATAATTCTATGATATAGAGTAGGACTTGGAATCCTGAATTGAAGCGGAAAAGAGGAAAATCAAAGAACACATTACGTCGTGAAGTCGAAGCAGATATGAAAAGGATGAATAATGATTGGAAGGAGCTGGAAAGTATTGCCCAAGACAGGGTTGGATGGAGAATGCTGATGGACGGCGGATGCTCCTTCGCGAGGGGTAACAGGCGTAAGTAAGTAAGTAAGTAAGAGTTGAAACTTCAAGAACTACTAAAAATTGAGAGGATGAAAAGTGAATGTCTAGCGCTTTAACTGGATTGGTGGATAAAGAGAATCTACACTTAGGGGAGTTTGAAAACCCTAATTCCAAACCAATGCTGTAAATGCGTTTCAGGATCCTAAAGGAATAAATGAAGTATGAACCAGTTACTGGTGAGATGATATCAACCGATGGTTAGAGACCTTAAATGACTGGTTGAAGATCGTTTGCAACGGCTCAGATGCATCCACTATTTGTGTTCTCCCAAGTTCAAATCTTCTGAATTTGTCATGTCCCTTCCTTTTTTTCCCCTTTCCAAATTTATTTCACTGGATTATACTCCTTGAATAACATTTTTAAACCCTAATCTTACCAATTACTGCTTATACTACTTTTACTACCTCTACCACTACGGGATTTGAATCGACAACTGCATCTCTGTACTAATGTGGTATGGCAACTCGAACTAATGTACGTACGTACGAAGTTCTACGTTGTTGCTGACTGGCTGACTGACAATTATTGTTGACCGGCTTGTTATAATTTGTGGTTTGAATGCTTATTGTCTTGGCTCTTTTAATGCTACTTTTTGTATCTGGTCGTCGTTGATTGGTTGTATCGGAAACGCTGATCACTTATACTTGGAACGAGGGACCCCGGCAATTCCCATAACGTGAAAGCAAGAACACAAAGATTTATTAGCCTCAAAGCACTATGACGACGACTACCCTAGTCTCAAATACACTCATTTATATATTGATTGTATACCCATTTTTATTAATAATTAAGATTAAATCGCATACTCAGTTATAACAAATCACTTACTAAGCATAGTTCATGTCAAGGGAATACAAGAATATCGTATATTATACAGAATAAAATATCATAATGGGGAAACAAATCAATTACTACACTGAATGATCCTCATGTTGAATGAAAAGGGATTTAATGTTGAATAAAACTCATAATGAGTAATTCAATCGAAAACTGACTTTTCTTTCCATCATATCACGACTACCATAGGATTGCGTCTCCTCATGTCGCTCCACTACCTTGTGGATCAGACCTTTAGGTCGGAGGCTTCGAGTGCGGTCCCCTAAGGCAACCACCTGTTTCAGTCTGAGAACCCAGGTAGTATCACAGTCCACACACAAATCAAGTGACTTGTGTGGTGCATATGTATTCGGTTCCTCTTTGTAACAACTTACTGTTGGAGAGAGAAAACAAGCTTCCAATTGAAGAGGATTTTAGGAAATCGATATTACAGATGGATAAGACGTATATTGTGGATATCATCAAACTGCTTCACTAGGCAAGCGCCTACTTGGAATCCTGAAGGGAAACGGAAAAGAGGAAAACCAAAGAACGCATTGCGTCGTGAATTAGAAGCGAACATGAAAAGAATGAATAACAACTGGAAAGAACTGGAAAGGACTGTTCCATGACTGAGTTAGATGGCGAGTGTTGATGAGCAGCCTACACGTAAGTAAGATCAATTTACTTTTCAAAGAAACACAGTATACCAGAATACCATCGAAAACTAGATAGCACTGGACAACTATTCTGTCATAGTATGATACTCCTAAACAGTGTCTCCTCAAAACTCCAACAATGACCAAACGTAGAAGAATTGGTGTTTTTATTTCTATGTGATGAAGTTTTCAACCCCATGCCTAACTCTCCTTCTTTACCCGGGTTTGTGACTGGCAGTAGCCCTTAAACAGTAACAGGCGAAGTTAGATGGAGAATCATGGTAAGCGGCCTACGCTCCTCTATCAGAAGTAACAAGCATAAGTTTGATAACAAAACAGTAGTAGCCGAATTTTGTGACATATTTGACGCTAGAATTTGTGATATCATACACGTAAGATAAATGTCTAAGCATTGACTATAGAATTCTGATTAAATAGTTTGCTGAAAACTTATCAAAACTCTTCCCATTGATATCTTCATTCATGTAACCACTAAATGTACATTCATTTGATATTGTTCATTTGAATCTTCCCATTGATGTTTAGGACTGCAATAGATCAATCTCTTATTGTCATATGTGCATGGTATACAGATTACTGTGATATTACCTTAAGTCACAAGTATTCTAAGCAAAGATGGATGGTGGCTAGTAGTGGAATACAATACGCGCATTACGTCCTATTTGGAACTCATCATCTGGATATTGAATGTATCATGCATCTGTAAAGTACTTTCTTCAAGAACTATGTCTAAATGATCGAAAAACAATGAAATTGTCGAAACAGATCGAACAAAACTGTAGATAATAGTAAGGCTATAAATTTGTTCAAATGGGAAGACAATCAATTAAACTATGATAGGACTAGTATTGACAATTACTAGTCATATTAATTGTTAACAAAGCAACTATATGACATATATATATGGAAATATTCTAATATCAATCACACTTCTATCTGAAGTTTATCCTGACAGTGTTGCTTAGATACCAACGAATGTTTCATGATTACGTAATCCGTCTTCGACAATACAATTTCAACAAAAATTATTCTTGTTTGATTGTTTTTTTATTGAGAACATAAACCGATTGATATTAGATCGCTAATTGAATACCTAGAAGCATTGGACAGTCATTTCATCCTATTGTGGAACTCTACAACAGTTAACATCTACGATCCTGCTCACAGGATTCAATGATGATCTAACATCAATCGGTTCATGATTTCAATCAAACAAACGAACAATTTAATAATCTCCCCCTACCCTCAATATATGATCGAAAACTTAAGTTACTAAAACAACATGTGAAATCATTTCATTGATATAAGAAAGCACAAAAAAATAACACCCAACTTACCATTTTTTTGTTTTACCATAGCAACAAAAAGTTTTTTTCATTTTTCTCTTCTTTTAAATGAATCTAGTTGTACACTTAAATGGATAAGTAAACATTTCGGTGCTAAATTTAAGTCAACTCAATTACATCATTCATCTATTAGGATAAGATTTCATACATGTAAATTATTATATTGAACATGGTTTAATGTTAAGGATTAATGTTGACGATTGAATTTGTTGCTAAGTGGTTCAAATCTCTCTAGAATTTTAGACAGTAGTATCTAACTATATATACTACTGTCTATATATATATATATATATATATATATATATAAGAGAGAGAGAGAGAGAGAGATACATAAATAGTTATGATAAATAAATAAACCAATCAGAATAGTGTAATATAATCCCGATAAATAGAACAATGTTACTTGTTGCTTTGATGACTTTCAGTCTGTCTTTTTTTCTTTCATATTGTCTCATTCTGTCTTGTTGAGTTGTCGTCTCCTTTTGTTTTGCTTTGTTTTGTTTTGGAGTTCATCATCGTCGAAGATAACCATCGACATCTTCATCATCATCATCATCATCATCATCATCATCATCATCATCATCATCATCATCATCATCATCATCATCATCATCATCATCATCATCATCATCATCATCATCATCATCATCATCATCATCATCCAAAGCATCATCATCATCATCATCATCATCATCATCCAAAGCATCATCATCATCATCATCATCATCATCATCATCCAAAGCATCATCATCATCATCATCATCATCATCATTCTGGATTAAATGATTGAATATGATAGTGTATTAAAATATTTCAAATGTTTATTTCATTTCATCAATGAAGAATTGATTAGAAGGGGGAAAAATATCAAAAAAGAAAACGTGAATGAATGAAACAACTCGTTGGAAAGAAGGAAAATAAAGAATGAAGGTTTGAAGACTGAAAAGAGTAATCTTGAAGTGAGGTGAACAAACCAACCCGGGTAAAGCACCGGACGTTCGCTTTTCGTCCTCTCAATTTCGTAAGCAACACCCGTGGTGCGTAGGACTTCTGTGGCAGAGGCTATATACGCGTGACCATGTGAGAGCATTTCGAGAGGGAGAGCTGACTCTCCCCACTCTCGGCCGTACCAGGGCATTTGGGGGCTTTTGGGGATTGTCTGTTTAAGTATAATATAAGTTCTAGCTGATGTAATTTTAGGTATTCTACTGATCGTCCTTACAATATCATTACCTTCCAAACGAAGAATGACAAAGTTCGATTTCTTGTTGATTGTAGCTACATTTGATTAATTTCTTCATGATTTTCATGTCTTGTAATTAATTGTATGCTACGATATGCCTTGCCAAAACATGATAACTTATAGGTTTCACGCTGTTTATTGTTAAACATAATAAACCTGCAATACCCTTTATTCGACAGCATTTTGGGTTTCTATCTATACTATACCCAGATGTTTATATTAATTGAGTATGAGTTCAAGGGAATTGGTCAGCTTAAAAAACAAATCTCTATCAAGAACTAACATTTAGACATCACGCTTTCTCACAAGTTGATAGAAACTGGATGTCAACTCAGTGATAAAATGGTTTAATGGTCACTGTGAAGTTTGAATTCTATAGATTCGATCCTTAGAAAAGCTATGGATGCTCACTGTTAAAAGCTCTTTACTAAGGTGAAACAACTATCTAGTTATTCATAACTT